CCTCGGCTCAGTCGAGCCGAAGAATATGCCTTCGGCTCGACTGAGCCGCTCGGCCGACTTCGGGAGCTGTACAGGCTATAGTGAATAGCCGGTACAGCAGCCCTTCGGTTCTACTGAACCAAAGGGGTCCTGGGGCCGAAGCTAGCCGAAGGATCAGCCGAAGCTACGGCTAGATCCTTCGGCTGCTTTGTGAATAGACCCCATAGAGTTCTTTTTTTCATCAGCTCTCACCCTTCTTCCTAAACTTTTTTTACCATGAAAAAAAAATGTAATTTCAAGGCTGCTGTGAAATGGAAAAGGCAGAACTACTGTTTAGTTAAAGAGAAACTGTAATTATGTTTGGTTATGTCTTCAATTTTTATACTTATTTCTTCATTTTTTTTATTAATATTTTTTATCAAATCTATATTTTACAAATAAATGTTTAATAATAGATGTACCCAAAACAGTGGCTTTGCAGAGCAATTTAGGTTTTGTAAGAGACTTTCAGTAGTAACTCGTTTTCTTTGTGGCCATATTTGCCTGATTTAATCTTGATATCTTGATTGAGTCTTGCATAAACGGAGCAAGCAGAGGTGGGGGAAGGGGCGAATCACCTTTCTGACTTATTCAACTGTTGTTGTTTGGGCTTCAGCTATTCAGCTTTGTAAACAGCAGGGACGTGTGGTCAGGGGAGGCGGAGCCTCACCTAGTATTATGGAGGAAAAAGCTGTCAGCTTCAAGTCTAAAGCTGACAACTTTTCCTCCATTCAGACTGGCTTCTAGCAGGTTACATGGCAGGGAAATCCTCCCCGCTGTGTAACCTGTCATGGACGGAGCACTGCCTGTTAATTACAGGCAGCACTGCATCTGGCTTTTGACAGGTAGTTAGGTTACATAGCAGCGGACTCCCCCACTGCTTGTGTAACCTAGATAATGAGGAAAGATCTGTCACAGCCTCTACTCTATGTTAGAGGTGTGAGTTCTGTGGATGGCTTGGACCAATGGCAAAGCGCCATTGGTCCAAGCTGTCCAATCAAAAAAAGAAAGAAAAAACCCACTGAGGCCATCTATCTCAATGCCTCAGCAGTGGCGAGCAAGTGAGGGACAGGGAGGCTCCTACCTGTCTCCTCCCTCCCTCCTTCACACTAGCTTGGGGAGAAGGGTTGGGGCGGGGCTTTGGCAGGTGGTGGATGTGCTTCTGAGGCTGGTGCAGGGCTTCATCAGGGCAGGACATGACATGCTGGGGGCCAGGCTGGGGAATGCCTCACCCGCAACTAAAGGTACCGCACGTCACTGGTAAACAGGTTTTTTTCTTTCAGCAAGGCAGCTAAGGTTAGCATGGTAAACATGTGAAGGAAGATAGCACTACTGCAGTTGCTGGCTGGAAATAACACATATTCTTGTCTCCTACTTGTCTTGCCTAAAAAATAAACATTTGTAATTATATTAGTACATGGCATAATAAATTAGGAAAGAGTACATGAAAATTCAAGGGAATATTTATAGAGCATTGAATGTGACATTCACCAAACATTTAGAGGTAGCCCTATAATTAATCCCCTGTAATATAAAACACCTACTTTACTCCCCTCCTCTATAGTTTTAAGCTAAAGTTGTTGTAATGGCTATACCAAGTAGACCTTCATAAAGTAAGTTGTAAGAGGACATGCCTTATATTTCATTATAATATGGCTAACCTTATAAATGTATAACATTACACATTCTTTACATTTTTTTACTTGTATATGTAATATATTTAGTTATAGTTTATACAGCTCAGGTTGCTGGAATAGAAATACCAATAGACCTTCAAAGTAGGTTGTAAAAGGATATATCTTATTATTCTTAACAATATTGCTAATATTGCTAAATAATTTATTTGATTTGTATATGAAATGTATTTAATTGCATTTAAGGTATATATGCTCAGTTAAGAAACCCTTTGTTTACTGAACAAAACTAAGATTCAAAATGACGGGGATAACATCACCTTTGTATCCTTGAATGTAAAATTCTGCTTTGATTACGACTTTCTATGCCTCAAAAATACACCCATATTAAATAAAGCCCACAACTCACCCCAGCTCACACTATTTAATAGAAAATTACATACTAATTTGCAGGTGTCATAAATATGCCAGCTATCTATATTCCCAATGCTTTGCAAGAAGCTTGCTTGGATCTGGTAATGCTCTAACATGATTGGAAGCATTTACACACCATTGCTGAACAAAAAGTGGTTGTTTGTATCCTCATACATATTGACGAGCATACTATTCCAATCCACCCATTGGGTACTGCAGTTTAGGATACTTCAGTAAGTGTACATAATTAAGTTTTTCAGTAATCCTCTGTATGTACAACAGTGAAGAATGGAGTCTTAGCATCTAAAGTTGTTTGTGGCTTTTGTCCAATCTTTCAATTAGGTATGCTCCCTCTGTGACTTCTTTGGCAGCTTCTTCAATGTGTCCAATGTTTCAATGTAACCATACACAGATATGAAAGTTATTCAGTATTTGAGATTCCAACCATTTTATGACTCTTTTGCCATGTATGCTTTTGCAAATAGCAGATGATAGCATGATCATGATTTATGGTCAACCAGACTTGTTGGAGATTTCCATTTGTTGTCACATTAAAACAGTATATGGAAATGTTTACTGCAAATGAGTTTGTTAATTTATATATTTTTATTTCTATTTCACAATGATCTGTCTCTGTGACATTCTGTAGCCAATATCCTTCTTCCTTGGCTGTTGTCAGTGAGATAGGACATTCCTAGCTAAGGTCCATAGGACAAGTACTAAGAGATAGAGCATTGCGCACAGTATGGAAAGCAACTTGTTAAAGAATACCCAGGAAGCCCTCTTTCTTGCCCCCAACCACATACTAACACAGGGGGGTCACCAGAACATAACAGACACCATGTTTTACCTGAATTTTAAGCAATGATATAAGCCTAGGTGTTAAAACACTAGGGGTAGAAGAATAATAAGTAACAATTACCGTATTCCTCACTTGGAAAGGCTTCCTCGATGCTGTCTGCAACCGGCCCCCCAAAGACGGTTGCACACAGTGTTTCTTTAACGCACTCCACCTGGGAGTTGCACCCTGACATAATCACATACATTGCAGGACCAATAGCCCTGCATTGTACATGAATACAGAGAGGGCTTGCCCACAAGCCAAAGCGTTGGAAAGAGTAGGGGAGTGTCGGAGCCTGTGCTGCTTACTGTTCTGCTTGCTGCAGGCTCTGACAAGAGGAAGCAAAGCCCAATATGGCTGCCTCTACACAAAGACTCAGTGCACAATAAGGCATTGTAAATCATTAATGGGGAAAAGATCATGAGAGACCACAGGCAATACTGGTGACTAGTTCATTGCTTTCTCTCTGCCTTTAGGGCAACGTTTTCTGAGTTCAGTTCCTTTTGAAGCCTAATAAGCACAGAAAACAACCATTGCACAGGAATTTGTTAGTAAAAACATTCCCCAAAATAATTAAAATTAAAGACAAACTAACTTACTGGTTTTAAATGAATTGCACTCTGTTTCCTTTAAAACCAGCTGCCATAAGGTACACTTTCTTCTTCACTCTGCAAATGTTCTTGTTTACATGCAGGTGGAAGTACAGCTCCAGCTGTACGTCTGTGCTTGCTCAGATGTAAGTGCTGCACGTCTCAATAGATCCACAGCACTAGAGTTGCATCTCCATCTCCCTCTTCACCTGGCCATTCTCAAAACGCACAGCTCAGGCTTTGTTTTGAAAATGGCCAGGAGGAAAGGGAGGAAGAAATGTGACCATAGCACTGAGGTCTATTGAGATCTGCAGCGCTTACATCCAGGAGTTGTACTTCCCTCTGCATGTTAACAGGAACATTTGCAGAGTGAAGAAGAAAGTGCACCTTAAGGCAGCTGGCTTTGAAGGAAAGGGATTGTGCAGCTCATCTAAAACCAGTATGTTTTTTGTGCCTGGAGTTGGGCTTTAACAATATCTACTGGGCATCATTTAATCATGACAACAGTACGTGCCATATCACCTAAGGGCTTAATCTTTTTTTTCTTTCATATCAGCTTTGTTTCATAAATATTTCTGGGCCATAGTTGGAAGGGGTGAACACATAAAGAATAACCTTTAGGTACCACATTGGAGTAAATTAGATTCATTATATGCAGTGTCCTGATAAGTCCTTGTTAGATTAATTGCATTCTAGAACTCATCTTTCTTTGCCAAGAAACAACGGAGAAAAATTAAATTATTTAAATGCTGGCTGACCAAAGCCATTTATTAGTTCATTATTTTTTTCAACAGTTCAGGATATAAAAATAATTTAGACACAAACTTCATCAGCTTAGCACTAAAAATGTTTCCAGCTACTTTTGAAATGTATCTCATTTTTATTATATTCTTAGAATATGTTGTAGTCTCTGGAAGATACCCTGTAAATTATCTAAGTTTTAAAACCACTTATTAATCCATTATATTCTAATTTTTCTAATTCATAAGCAGTGGCTACAGATCTCTCTGCAGTCTACTGACTATCTCAACTGCTTGCTGAGTCCGGCTGTGTACCTTAAATAAGTGTGTCAGCATTCTAGGTAGCAATGAATCGAGAATCAATCTGTACAACTGCAGTGCTACCACAGAGCACTATTATGATGCTGTATAAATGCATGGTTTTATATTATATCAGATTAAAATGGTAAGTGCCACTGCGGTTAAACAGCTATTTTAACTAGTATTGACCTTTGCGTGGCCGAAAAATGTTTAATTTAACAGAAGCAATAAATATTGCTGCTATGGTAGGTGTAATTAAGCAGTATTTTATTGTTAGCCACTTCATTAAAACATTCATGATGAGTAAAAGTAGTCTTATATGCACCATGTATATTATTATGTGTCAGTTTACAGTTACTATAGCTAATTGATGGTTTACCTCGTCATTTATCAGTTGCAGTAACTTCTCTAATGCAGAACAGGACAAGCAATGTTGTCAAGGATTTCCCCACTGATGGTAATGCTGGAACAAGTTAAGCAGCAGAAGCAGCACAGACGTTGAAGCTTTTCTACTTTTCACAAGCCTCTTTTTCTATCTTATGATTTTTTCAGTGAAGAAAATCCATTTGGTATCCGAAGATGAAGAGGGTACTTTTCCTGGTGCTAATCTCCTTCTGTTGGGCTGATCATCATGGCAGTAACTCCCCAGTGTACACTGACAGGATCATTCACGTCCATGGTAAGACTACGGTCAAAGTAGGCACGTCAATTTGTTTTCAGGCATTTATGTGGTATATAATATGTTGCTGTTTGCATCCTGCTTCTCTGTATCATATTATGCTGCATTGATCCTACCTCCCCCCTTTAACCTCTCTTTACTTTTGCTAAGTTTGCATTAGTATACTCTCTCAGCAGTGTTAGCTTATTATGACAAAAGGTGCAGCTTAGGTTTAACATTTATTTGCATCAGTATCTCTGTGCTGAGTGTTGCTTTTCTTTCTGATTAAGAAACAGAGCAATTTAGTACCACTGCAGTGTCCTTCATGCTAAAGATATGGGGGATGTTAAAATCCTGGTATGTAAAATTACTGTTTTTTTTCAGATGGCTAAAGTGATGTCCTTACCTTAGCTGTAGGCTGTATTCTAAAATCCATAGCAATTCTGTATGAGCATTTTTGCTTTTTCCCTTACAGCATGCATCTGCAGCAGGATGTAATTCTGCAGTGCATGTCAGCTTTTCAGTGTTGGCATCAGTAATTGAAAAGTCACAATGCCAGAAAAAATACAGAGCTTGCACATTGTTATTTTATGGCATGAAAATGAAGTTTATGTATATTTATTTAGTAGAAATTGAACAGTTGAATGTGAAAAAGGGGCCTCTATTCTTTCTTAGCTGCAAAGGGTTACTCTAGAAATGACACCGAGGCCATATAAAGACTGCAACATATTTTAATGACAGCTGTAAGTCTTGAAATGTGATGTGTGGGTCTCATTAATGTATCATATAAAATGTATTCGAGTGTACACTGCTGCCAGAGAGGCCGGGATGCTTTGCTTCTGTATCTTTGCCATACAGGCCCCTAAATGCTCATGACAACATTGTCCAATTTAAGAAAGTGACGCCCACTGACAAGCTACGATTGCAGTGCATCCCAATATGTGAATGTGTTTTTAGCTAGATCCATAAAGAGCAACACTAATTAGCTCATTGCAGATTCCTTATTAAAAAAGGAAATGCGGCATTCTGCCATTAGAGAGGCTGCGTAGTTATTAGCATAGAGACATAGGAAATTATTCTTATTCTTATTATTATACAGGATTTATATAGCGCCAACAGTTTGCGGAGCACTTTACAATATAAGGAAGACATTACAGCTACAATACAATTCAAGACAAGATGGTAAGGAGGACCCTGTCCTTGAGAGCTTACATTCTAAAAGGGAGGGGCAAATGATACATGATAAGGTAGCTGTGTGGTGATGAATTGTTATTAGCAGACTTATTCAGTATTTTAGAGCAAAGGTTAGAGTTCAGGTTCACCACCACGGGTTTGAGGCGTATCTTGTGGGTTCCAGACTTTCAGTCTTTGCACAAATTCGCCCAGAAGAATTTGTTTTTAAAACCATTTGCTATGCGCTACATGTCCTTTGAACAATGGGTAGCATGTTTAGAAGGATTAGTAAGTAGCTTTTGAATAACCTTTTAGATTGTAAGCCCTCACGGGCAGGATCCTCCTTATCATCTTGTCTTGAATTGTATTGTGATTATAATGTCTTCCTTATATTGTAAAGCGCTGCACAAACTGTTGGCGCTATATAAATCCTGTATAATAATAATAATAACCCAACCCCCTTTCTATAAAAGAGGCAGAGCAGCTATAGTGTCCACATATTGGAAGCTGCTCTAGGGAAAGGATAGAGAAAGCTGACAAACTTAATGGGAAAAGATGAGGGTCAGTTAGGATACTGTACTTTAATTCTGAATGCTAGCTCTTTGGACAATTAACACTTTTTGCTTTTTTTATTTTTATTACATGGGCTTTTGTCTTTAATTTTAATATTTGGTTAACTTGTAGTCAGCGGTTACTTTTAGCTGCTCTCCTGTCCTTAGCAAATTTTAAACTTTAAAAAAGAAATGGGCTTTTGTTTCAGGGGGTGATTTTTGGGTTTTTTTAATTAATTTTATTTTGTTTATTACTTTTTATTGCCAGACTCCCTTAAAAAAGTTGGCTTTTGTTTCAGACCACCTGTTCTTAAGCTGCCTTTTGTTGGCAGCATGCCACTAAATAGTTTGAAAGAAAAAAAAACTAGCAAGCAGTAGATATATGCAAAAACATTTTTAAAAAACGCATTAAAAGCGGTTTAAACATACCTTGTATCTTCGCTGCGTGCTCCCGTCCGAAAATCTGAAAATTCTTGGGCAGCCGCAAAGCATCTTGGGGCGGGCGCATGCGCAGTTCAGATTTTCGGCCGGGAGACGAGGAAAGACACAAGGTAAGTATATGGACGGCGCGCAGACACCGTGGGACAGGAAGTACCAGCAAGGACAGAGGAGTCAGCGCTGGATCGGAGGCCCGCAGCAACACTGGAGGGATAGATGAAAACTACAGGAAAGAAGAAGAAGATGCGATTAAGAAATATAATTTAAGGTAAGTGCTTTAATATTTTTGACTTTAATGTCACTTTAAAGTGTATTTCCACTTTCCCAGCCAAATTGGGATAACACCTGTATTATATTTGTTAAATGTTCCTATCCACATAGCATAAGCTAAAAAAAAACAAAAAACTGCTTTTTGCAGTTTAAATTAGGATTAACATTTCTTCTTGCTTCAATTTCTTTAGAATGTTAGAAGGAACTGTAAGGGGTGAGGGGTCTGAGGTGGCTTTTCCACTGTATGTTAATGAAGCTTATCAGCTAAACACAATCCTCAAATTTCAGTCCCAAGTCTTACCATTGGGACAGATCACTCTGAAAGGGCTTAGAAAAATCTGGAATCAGCCATCTTACCTGATTTAACAAAACATCTAAAAGGTAAGAGATTTTTAAAGTTATTTTTCAGTATGCTATGTGAATCGGAACACATAATAGACGTATGGAGGAGTTTCCCTTAATTTGTCTACAAAAGTGGAAATACACTTTAAATAAGTCATTGTAATTACATAATAATAGTGCAAGAAAATGCACAAATAATAATGGCAAAACTCCACAAATACATTTCCAACATAGTTTGAGTACCCCAATAAAAAATATAAGACATGATAAAAACAGAGAAGTAAACCCACAAAGTGCAATTAGTAACTAATAATCAAGAATTCTATTCTAGCATGGTAAAAGTACTGTAACTAGTGAGTACTGGAATCCGAATAAGTGAGCTCATCTGAACTAGTGATGAGCCGAACAGGTCCGAGTTCGGTTCGAATTCGATCTTTAGAGCGTCCAAAAAGTTTGAATTCAAACTCGAACTCAATGCAAGTCTATGGGGTAGAACTTTCAAAAACAATTGTCCCCTTTTAAAGGGCTTATATGCAAGTTATTGGCCATAAAAGGTGTATGGGGATACGGGTACTGCCCTGGGGGACATAAATCAATGAAAAAAAATATTTTAAAAAATACAGTTTTTAAAGGAGCAGTGGTTTTAACATCATTTAAAGGGTAACAATAAAAATGAAAAATGACTTTAAATATCGTGCCTGGGCAGTCCCCCTAAACTGGCTGTAAAGTTGCAAATCTGTACAATGTGTAGAACAATGCTGCAGCAAAACTGACATTTCTAAAGAAAAAAAAAATTACATTTTTATTTTTAAAGCATGCAGTACCCCTTTCCAAACAATACCAGACCCTTTAGGTCTGGTAGGAATGTTGGAAGGTACCAAATAAAAAAAAAAGTGTGGGGTTCCCCCCAAAAGTCATACTAGACCCTTAAGGTCTGGTAGGAATATTTGAGAGGGCCCCTGTGTAAAAAAAAAAAAAAAAAAAAAGTGTGTGGTGTTCCCCCTCAAAGTCATACCAGGTCCTTGATCCGATCATAGGCCTGGCACGGCCGGAAAGGTGGGGACGAGCGAGCAACCCCCCCCTCCCTCCCATACCAGGCCACATGGTCGCAGGGTCG